AACGCTCTATCCACTGAGCCAAACGGGTCAGGGCAGCCTTTGCCTTTCTTTTTCTACTGTTTACCTGCTTGTGTACTTTACCTTTTTTTTTTTTTATTGATTAAGGTATTACAAATGTGTCTTTATCCCCCCCATTGTCCCTACTTTACCTTTTTTCTACTGAGTTGTTGGATTTTTGACTTATAGGACCACTTTTTATATTAATTAATCCTCTGTTAGCTACATATATTGCGAGTTATCTTCTCCTAGTCTTTCAACTGTGTTTATGGTGGCAATTTTCTTTCAATCTTTTTAGTTTTAGAGAAGGCAGGCTGGCCCTAGCTGGTTCGGCTCAGAGAACAGAGCACCGGCCTGTGGACTGAAGATCAAGGGCACATGCAGGGGGAGTGCAGGAAGCTGGTGATCAATGATTTTCTCTCATCATTGATGTTTCTCTCTCTCTCCCCCTCTCCCTTCCCCTCTGAAAACAAACAAACAAACAAAAATAAAAGAAGGTAGACTGATTTTACAGGAAGTAGAGGCAAGATCATATATCTGGAAAGCCTTTAGGATAGAAGTCAGTTGAACATACAGAGAAACTACAAATACCAAGGAACAAAATGTCTGCAAGCTTGAATTTTCCTACCTTGCACTGCACAGTTGCAGCAACTAAAAAAAATTTTTTTAAATATATTTTTATTGATTTCAGAGAGGAAGGGGGGCGAGAGAGAGAAATAGAAACATCAATGATGAGAGGGAATCATTGATGGGCTGCACCGAGCCCACAACCTGGGCATATGCCCTTGACCGGAATCGAACCTGGGACCCTTCAGTTCCCAGGCTGACACTCTATCCACTGAGCCAAACCTGAGCAACTAAAAATTTTTAAAAAGGCTCTACCAACTCTAATTCAATAACCTGTCCAATGGTGCATTATGTTATATTTCCTTCTATAAACATTTTCTCTCCACTTCCAGGCTCCTCAGCCTAAATAGAATTCATTTTTTCTTGCTCAAAGTCAAAATGGAACTCTTGAACAAGTGGCTGGGTTGGGTGTGGGGCTGGGCATGGGGGAGGCTCCAGCAATCCTGAATTAGATGTGATATCCCTTTGGCTCCACCACAATGGAGGCTATCCTTTGGGAAGTGCCTTATTTAAACCTTTAAAAATGATTATAAGATGAACAATGCTTATTATAAATAGGTTAGGGTGGCTACACCTTTTGTGCAGTGAAAGTAGCCAATCCTTAAAGCTTGGTGCATACCCTTTCCATGTACTAATTCAGACCACTAAGATCCCGGGTTGTAATCTACAGCTGTCATTTTTTCCCTATAGTTCTTAATTTGAGGAAGTAGGGGGTGGGGTCACAGATCCCTTTAAAAAGCTGATGGAAAGTTATGGGTTCTCTCCCCAGAGAGATGAACATAAATACTGCCTACTAGGAAGAGCCAGGGCACTCAAGGTCATGTGAGGCCATTGGAAAATGCTGGCCTGGTGAACTCAACCAGCTCATGCTAATCTCTAAGCACGCCTTTCTCCACTTTGAGCTTGCTGCACTCAGTGTTAGGCCTGCTCTAGGGACTCCGGGATGATTCCTGTCATTGTCATGAGGTGGTTTCATCTGTACCAGTCAGAACTACCCCTCCGCCCCCATATTTTTTTTGAATGGTGAGGATTTATAAGACGTTCATGAGGTTCCACTCAATAACAGCCTTCCGCTGGCAATCCTGTGTTCCTTTCTCAAAATACGGTCAGTCTGTGAAGCAAAACCATGCTCTTATGAAGCTGGGCTGCCTATTTTTATCCACCTCATTTTCTGAAATGCCTTGTTGCTACTTCTCTGATTAGTGTTCTAGTCACACAGGAGACACTCAAGGCTCATGGATAAAGACCAATCAAGCCTTTGAAAGACAAACTCAACTCCTTCAATAGTGGAAACGGTTACACTTTACTATGAACATGAGCAGAATAACATCTGTTTAGGAAATTAGTTATGCGACAGCAAAATGCTGAGACTTGGAAAAGATACAAAATTAAAATCCTTGAGCAAGAAAAGATCACCATCAGCTACAATGTCCTTTTTCTTTTAAAAAAAAAAAAAAAATTAAGCCCTGGAGATGGTGAGTCTAGGGAGAAAGACATACAGGGCTGCCATTGCATAAGGGTGTACAGTTTGTGTGCAATAGGAACACTCAGCCCAGGGGGTGAATGGGACTAAAATTTAGCCCCCAGACGATAGCACCTGCTGAATCTGCCTAAAGGGGGCGCCCTTTTCTAATCCTCACAAGGCACCAGAATTTGGCAGTTGGTCCTGAAGACGGCTACCATTCTTTAGTTTAACCTGTTTGTACCGAGTCAAACTGTTCTTCCTTGCGATCTAATCTGGTTTGCAGTTCATGCTATACGCCAGGTGTTCATAAACTTTATTGAGCATCAGACTCATCTGGAGGGCTTATTAACACAGATTGCTGGCCTATACCCCAGTGTACCTGATTCTGTAGGTGTAGGGCAGGGCCTGAGAATCTGAATTTCCAACAAGTAACCAGGGGATGCTGATGTAATTGGTCCAGGGACTTCACTTTGAGAACCAGGCTATGAGCTACAGGCCAGATTTGTTTTTTGTATGTTTGTTTTTACTTTGGACCTTGTCCATGTTTACTAACGACAGCCTCCCTGACTCTGTACAGGCCAAAGAAAAATAAGCAACTTCAGGTACCCAAAACTGAAGGGCTCTCCTGGTAGACGTTTGGCTTCGGTGCCAGGGACACACCCATTTACCTGAAAGGCCCACAGTCCCCAGCACTACTGTGAATAAGAGGCTCAAAAGACACTCTGTGGGCAGGGCCGTTTCCACCCATTTGACTTGAGGGTCTGCGACTGTGTAATGAAGGAGCCACTGTTTTGCTGGCGAGCAGCTCAGACGGGGGACGATGCCAGCAGTCACTTACATGAAATGGATGGGGTGGTTCACAGACCCCTTGCTGGGTGAAAAGGCTGCCTGTTTGGTTAGGGCTAGGATTGTGTATACTGGGGGTAGAGACCTTTTCTAGGGAGTAAACGGCACCCTGATGGTCTACATCCGTGAACCCACATGCTGCTTTTCTGCACTCAGATACAGAAAAGGCTTTCTGTCAACAGGCCCCTGGAGTTCTGTCTCCACCGAGCCCATCTGAAGTAAACAGATAGGTATTCTCTGTGAGGTCTCTAGGACCGGAGGCCTCCAGGTTCCTTCGATGTATTATTCTACCTTTGGGCCCCTGTAAAAGTCTGAGATTTTTCTGGTTTTGGATTAAAAGTATTTTAGTCTTCTTTACCCCAGTCGGTCCTCATCCTCCACCCTCCAGCAGATCACTTACTGGAGGCCCACCCACAAGTTTTCCTCTTTCTATATCGTCTCTACTCAAGCCTTTCCCCGATTGATAGGCTGGCAGTGTTTTGTCCTCTGAACCAGGACCCAGCTGCCCTGTTTGATGCTGAGCTTTCTTAAAAGTCCATGCTGGCATCCTGGCACTACAGAGACGTCTACTGACGTGCCCAAAGAGGCAGATATTTGGTCCTTCGGGTCCCCTTCACTTGCCAACCTCCTTATCAGTTTGGACCTGTTATTCTGTGAATATCCTTTTGATATCCCTTGTGTAGGCGGTAAGGAAACCATAAGCCTGGAGGAATCCAAGTTGGGATTTACCAGTTCTTCACCTTTTTTGGGGTCTGTGCTCCCTCTAAGAATCTGAGAAAAGCTCCCCAGAAAAATACAACTGGAAAGATTGGTTTAAAGATCAGGGGAAGTAACCACAGGAGACGTCCCTCCTGCCTCACAAAAGACAACCACAGACAGGTCTCAGGGAGACACAGGACCATGAGCTGAGCCAGCCCACGGGCCACAGGTGGCAGCATCCTGGGGGTTGTGTTAAGTGGTGATCTTGCAAAAGAATCTCTTCTAGGAAGATGCATTTGTTCTTCAGAAGATGCAGAACTGGGAACAATTGCAAAAAATAAAAAGCCCTTCCTTGGCCTACAAAACCATGTTTCTAAAAAAATGTGGCTCAAAAACAGCAAACCACATTACTGACGATCCCTGTCTTTGTCCATTCAGTCCACCCTCTCCTTTCACTTGAAGTTTGATACCTTCTGTTCTGAAGAGGGAACTGGTGGAACAGTGACAGAAAAGCACCAGAATGCACCCGAGCTTACACTCAGAACAGATCCAGTGACTTAGGATAAGGCCAATGAGAAGGGCACCTCATTAGATAATCAGATCTAACCCAAGCCACCAAATGGGCGTGTTTGTTTCTATTTAAAGTCAAGGACACTAGCATCTGATGACTGTTCCTGGGACTGGAGAGGATTCTCGTGGGTAAAATGACGGTGCAGAGGATCTGGGGAGGGTGCTCCATCCATCATTTACTGGAAATGAGCACAACTTGCTAAACTCTTCCCAAATCATGTTAAAAAAGAAAAAAAGAAAAAAGGAAAAAGGCCAAAACAATAGCCTTAGGATTAAGGGGGCATCTAGACCTCTGCCCTTGAACTCTTGCCGAATCCTTGTTTTGTGTGAGGGAGCATTTCAAGTGATCTGTGAATCAAAGGACGACATTCACTTGGTATGACACTTGAGACAGCTTTGATCTTGAAGTTTGGTATAAATTAGAATGAGACTGAAACCCATCCCACAGAGAATTATGGAGTCCTATATGCAAGTCAAGTAAGCAAGCATCAAACATACTGACTGAGGTCCCACTTCCTCAACACCTAAGTACTGTAGTTATTTTAGATCAGGCTTCTATCATTACATTTTTCCTCATTATGCCCCACTTCCTCAACACCTAAGTACTGTAGATCAGGCTTCTATCATTACATTTTTCCTCATTATGTTCGTGAACAGTGCTATTTCCAATACAGGAAGCAGTAGCCCTGCCTTTGTTGATGTCTTTCTAGGTAGCGTTTAAAGCCAGATGGACTGAAATCCCAAGTCAATGTGTAATGAAACTGACCTACAAGTTATTTCGGGGAAGTTGACTTACCATACCACTCATCAACCCATGCAAAAGCCTGTCGATGTCCAATCAGCAGGATATCTCGGACCACCTAAAAAAGTAAAAGAAGAAGGTTGAAATAACACCATGTTTGATTAAAACTACCTGGAAAATAGATCATTCCTAGTTTTAGGGATCCTGGCATTATAAATGTCTCCATCCCACTGTACATATGGGAGGACAATGACAGAGGACATGCACAGGTATTGTACCTGCTCACCCTCAGCCCTTTCCATGGCGGGCATGTCCTTGGTGTAAATTAATGTCCGTCTTACTTGGAAGTCGGGCTGGAGGTGTGTACAAACCAATGAGAATGACTTGGCAGTCACATGGCAATGACTGGAATGCATCTCCAGGCGAATCACCTTGAGATTTCTCTCTTCGTTTACCTTTACCTAAAACAGGCCCTACTTTTCATTTGTAGAGGGTGTGTCTCACTGGCGCCAAGAGGTCATACATGTTAGAAATCAAGAGTTTTTCTGGGAAGCAGGTCACTTCTTAATAAAGAGCACTTAACACTCTTCTCTGATGAAATATCTTAAATATTAAAATAATTGAAGCGCCCTAGCCGGTTTGGCTCAGTGGATAGAGCATCGGCCTGCGGACCAAAGGGTCCCTGGTTCAATTTCAGTCAAGGGCACATACCTTGATTGCAGGCTCCTCCCCAGTCTGGGCCCTGGTCAGGGCTCATGCAGGAGGCAACCAATAGATGTGTTTTTCTCAGTCTTTCCCTCTCTCTTCCACTCTCCCTAAAAGTCAGTGGAAAGATTAACAAAAAAATAAAATAAGCCGAAACTGGTTTGGCTCAGTGGATAGAGCGTCGGCCTGTGGACTGAAAGGTCCCAGGTTCGATTCCGGTCAAGGGCATGTACCTGAGTTGCGGGCACATCCCCAGTAGGAGATGTGTAGGAGGCAGCTGATCGATGTTTCTCTCTCATCGATGCTTCTAACTCTCTATCTCTCTCCCTTCCTCTCTGTAAAAAATCAATAAAATATATTAAAAAAATAAAACAAATAAACAAACAAATAATTGAAGGTGTGGGATATAAGATGCATAAATATCTTTCTGGGCTTGACTTTCACGTAATAGGAGGGGCGGGGGGGAGCAAGAGTAATAAACTATTAGCGAAAGAAATGGAATAAGACACCTGAAGTAGAACAGAACATAATGGCAATGATAAGCTTGTCTTGTTGCCATTATGTGTCACCATCAGAATGAAACTGTTTCTGATGGTGACACATAATGGCAACAGGAGACAAAGAAAAATAATACAGACACAGTTTGTGTGTGAGTAGCCCTATTTATGTGCTTTTAATTCATGGTATTATTTTTTTGTCCTCCATAAATACTCCTTTTTAAAAAGTTTCTTGGACACTCACGCTCTCCTTCTGACATTCCTTTCTTACTGCCGAACAAATCCAGCAATTGTCTAAAACCTCTCATGGAAGGTTTGAGCATTTTTCAATAAGTGAAGGATTTTAATTTTGGTGAATTTGCAGAAACAAGGGAAGCATTTATCAGAAAGTGTTTATTATTCCAGGCCTCTGGTTAGCTAGTGAGGCTTAAGGAGGAAACGTAATGAAAATAAGAAATTTTCGTGAAGCTGAACATACTTGAGTGCCGAGTGTGTCAAATTCATGGAAATCAAAAGAACAGCATCGAGGCATCAGTAAATAGACCCTATTACGTTAAGCACAACACAGCTGTCTGCTTGGAAACAGGAACTCAATAATGTGCTAATAGCTCGCTTTCAAACATTTCTTCCCCTTAGCTGTGAAAAGATTCTTAAAAAAAACAAAGGTGTTCAGAGAAAGGCGCCCATGCAAATGCTGGCCTCAGACACTCATTAGCGACTCATGTGCCAGAGCAGGTGTGTGCTGGGCGTTGGTAGCACTTCATTCCATTTAGAAATGGGCAATGGGAATGCCTACGCCAGAGTGTAATTCTTACAGGTGTTTTAAAGAAGCAGATTCTCAAAACTAGCCCAAGTCATCTGTGAGAAAAGAAACACAATGAGCGCTGTGGTAAAGAAAAGGGGGTAATGCCCTGACCGGTTTGGCTCAGTGGCTAGAGCGTCGGCCTGCGGACTCAAGGGTCCCAGGTTCTATTCCGGTCAAGGGCATGTACCTTGGTTGCGGGCACATCCCCAGTAGGGGGCGTGCAGGAGGCAGCTGATCGATGTTTCTCTCTCATTGATGTTTCTGACTCTCTATCCCTCTCCCTTCCTCTCTGTAAAAAATCAATAAAATATATTTAAAAAGAAAAGGGGGTGAGGGGACATTATAGGAAGTCACAGCCTGAGATAGACACAGAGCGGAGGCTGGGAGATATCCACCCTGGGAGCCCTGACTGTCTTCCTGCTTAATAACTGGGACACACAGGAGGCCCCAGCACTTGATTTCTAGGTGTCTTGCTCGGCTCCCTCCTCTGGTTGGGCAGAATGGGTTCTGAGGGTCAGCAGATCAGCACCCTTCTCTGTCTCAAATTTGTTCCAGAGTCTGTGATAATCATGAGCCCAAGGTCAGTCTATTCCTTGGACCTAATTTTAAGATTTACAATTTTTTATGGTCAATTAGGTCCCCTATTTTACTGTCAATTGTCCCCCGTAGACAAATCCATTTAAGTAACAGAAAGCTCAGCACATTAAGTTTAAATTCCAACACCTCCAGAAGAATTTCAGAAAGCTTTTTTTTTTTTTTTTTTATCAGTTTTTAAGAGAAAAAACAAACACATACCTAGCCTAGCTGGAATGCAGAGACAACGTGGGTAGTATTTATTTTTAGGGAGATGGAAAGAGTTACAAAGGGCAGTGTTCAACACTACATTTCCTTTTTTTTTTTTCTCCCATGAGGACAGGGGTCATGTTAGAAACCTCTAAAAAACCTAAATCATTACCAAGGGAATTCCTGCTGCAAAATTAATGAGCTTAGCCAAAGTGGGTATAGAAGTGAAATCTGTATTTTGAGATTGTTCACAATTCTTTGTTGACAGAATTATATGAGCAGAAATTCTGCAGTGCACCATCTAATGGGACTCCCGGGATTTCTTGTTCTGTCTCTTGGGATGCCTTCTACATTCAGACGGTGCCTCAGGGGTCTACATTTGCAGGACCTTTAGAGTTAGAATTATCCTTGGGGAGTGCACATGCAGATAAGCCCCGTGCCTCTGCCTGAAACCCAAGTACCAAGTATAAGTACCTGTGCTTGGAACTAGAGTAGCCCAATGCCAAAGGGAGAAGTATGTGGTGTTTTTAACTTTTTTTTTTTTTAAATTTTTCAATTACAGTTTGCATTCAGCATTATTTTGTACTAGTTTCAGGTATACAGTATAGTGGTTAGATAATCATAAGCTTTACAAAGTGATCCCCCTGATATTTTCAGTACCCACTTGGCACCATACATAGTTATTACATACTGTTGCCTACACTCCCCATGCTGTACTTTACATCCCTATGACTATTTTGTTAACTACCAACTTGTACTTCTTAATCCCTTTCACCCAGCCCTACCAACCCTCCTGATCTCTGTGTCTCTAAGTTTGTTTCTATTTTGTTCATTTATTTTGTTCTTTAGATTCCACTTATGAATGAAACCATATGGTATTTGTCTTTCTCTGTCTGGCTTATTTTGTTTAGCGCCATACCCTCTAGGTCCATCCATGCTGTCGCAAATGTAAGAGTTCATTCTTTTTTATGGCTGAGTAATATTCCACTGTATACGTAGGTACCACAGCTTTTTTATCCACTTGTCTATTGATGGGCACTTGCGTTGCTTCCATATAGGGTAAGTGTTTTGAACATCCACCTTCCTGAATACACTCACACAACAGACATGGAGGTACAGGATAGGAGATGGTGTAAAACATCTATTAGTGGAAGAAAATGAAACCTGAATGTAAAATGCCTGTTCATGAAAATAGGGTTGCCTAGATGCAGTTACCTGGTGTTGGCTCAGCGCCTGTGCATCTGTCGTACATCTCTCACTCCAGCTTACCGTAAAGACAGGTACGTGTTCCGAGGCTCAGGACCTGCTCTTTGTTCACTTACCTTGTGTACAAACTGTTCCACTCTGGTCTGGAGCCCCCAGACCTCAAACTTCACAGTCACCAGCTTGTAGGAACACATGATGGGCTGATGACTATCTCTCCAGCCTTCCCGTAACTGTCCCCTTCCTGTCTTCTCTGACTTGAAGTGTTTAGGATCCTGGAAAAAATATACCAAAGAAATGGTAACTTAGAAGTGAAGCTAAGTGAAAGAAGCTTTTCACCAAAGGCCACACTGTAGAATTCCATTTATATGAAATATCCAGAATAGGCAAATCTATGGAGAAAGAAAGTAGACTAGTGGCTAGGGGATGGGTATAGTACAGGGAATGGCTGCTATGGAGACAAAGTTTCTTTCGGGGGTGATAAAAATGTTCTAAAATTAGATTTAAGGGGATGGCTCAAAACTCTGTCAGTGTGCTAAAAACCATTGAACTGAACACTTTTTTAAAAAAAATTTTTATTAAAATATATTTTATTGATTTCTTACAGAGAGGAAGGGAGAAGGATAGAAAGTTAGAAACATCGATGAGAGAGAAACATCGATCAGCTGCCTCCTGCACACCCCCTACGTTGCTATGACATGCACTGACCACCACGGGGCAGATGCTCAATGCAGGAGCTGCCTCCAGCCTGCAGCCCTGATCGCCAAAGGGGCCTGCTGGCCAACCTTCTGGTCCCTTCCCCCAGCTGGCAGGCCCTGATTGCCTGATCAGGACTGAATCCCGGGCTGGGCTAGGGAACTGGGGGTGGGTGGTGGCAGATGCAGGTGGTGAGGGAAGGAGGAGGGGGGAGGCAGGGAACCTGATTGGCCAGGCCTAGGGACCCCGCCCATGCACAAATTTCGTGCACCAGGCCTCTAGTATATCAATAAAACTGTGAGAGATACATAAATGCAATAAAAAGTGTTATAAGCTACCTCAGTAGGATTTTTCAGTGTGTGCTCTGGCTCTGGGTTTGCTGACATCGCTGCATAAATTAATACTATAATAGTCATCATCCTAAGCCCCTGTTTACTAAATGTACACTGTGGGCATAGTATCACACATGCTCCCCCCTGACCTGATTTCTTCGTCCTGAGGGTGTGAAGGGCATCGGTTGTGTGTGTGGCCTGTGTGTGGTCTCGGAAAACTTCCCTCCATGCAGAGAACAGACTCAGCTCTACTTGGACACCTCTATTCCCTGATCTCCTGCCAGGGTCCCTCCTAATTTGCATCGGTTACAGGAAAGTGGTGGGCCTGGGGGCAGGAAGGGACCAGAGTGGGGCAAATATATAATTAATGGAATACAAAATTGACAAAAGGGGTTCCAGAAGTGGGGGAGGAAAGAGAACACATACAAATATCCCAGAGGAGTAAGTGGTTCTGTGAAGGGAGGGCGTGGGGATCTTGAGAGTGGGTAGCATTTTTGAATCTTTGGTACCAACGTTGCCATGCTATATTTTTATTACCCGAACCAACCCAGAAACTGGCACTGAAATGATATGCACAGGCCCGGAATGACAGACCCATGAAAAAGGCATAAGAATAGGGTCTGGCCCATAGCAAGTACTCCATTCATGTAAACCATGATTGCAATGCAATAAAAAGTGTTATAAGCTACCTCAGTAGGATTTTTCAGTGTGTGCTCTGGCTCTGGGTTTGCTGACATCGCTGCATAAATTAATATTATAATAGTCATCATCCTAAGCCCCTATTTACTAAATGTACACTGTGGGCATAGTATAGAAGCAGGTATCACACATGCTTCCTCCTGACCTGGTTTCTTCGTCCTGAGGGTGTGAAGGGCATCGGCTGTGTGTGTGGCCTGTGTGTGGTTGCGGAAAACTTCCCTCCATACAGAGAACAGACTCAGCTCTACTTGGACACCTCTATTCCCTGATCTCCTGCCAGGGTCCCTCCTAATTTGCATCGGTTACAGGAAAGTGGTGGGCCTGGGGGCAGGAAGGGACCAGAGTGGGGCAAATATATAATTAATGGAATACAAAATTGACAAAAGGGGTTCCAGAAGTGGGGGAGGAAAGAGAACACATACAAATATCCCAGAGGAGTAAGTGGTTCTGTGAAGGGAGGGCGTGGGGATCTTGAGAGTGGGTAGCATTTTTGAATCTTTGGTACCAACGTTGCCATGCTATATTTTTATTACCCGAACCAACCCAGAAACTGGCACTGAAATGATATGCACAGGCCCGGAATGACAGACCCATGAAAAAGGCATAAGAATAGGGTCTGGCCCATAGCAAGTACTCCATTCATGTAAACCATGATTGCACCCCCCAAGACAGTCATTGAAGACTTTGAGTAAAGTATCCAACCCTACAGTCCAGGGCAGAGACAGCAATGCCTTCTAAAGCCCCTGCAGTTTGCGGTAAAATATTTGATGTTCAAGGCCAGGAACGAATTCCTGCCTGCCTGCGTTCCTATGCCACATAAAGCCATTAAGAATAAAAAGAGAACAATAGAGCAAGAGATGTATCAACAGGGAGACTATGGTAGACAATCTCAAACATGGTGGCCATCAATCCCTTCCCTCACCGTGCAGGCATGCTGTTCCTGTCACCAACGATAGAGGCCTTCTGCCCTCCCCTGGAACCTAGACTGGCCTTTGACTTGCTTTGACCAATGCAATGTGTCAGAAGAGACACTGTGTCAGTTCAGATCATGCTAATGTATGTTTCAGACTTAAGAATAAAGCGAGACTCCACAGCATCACACAGGAACACTGGTGGATTGAATTTCCAAAGCAGCAAAGAATCGAGGGGCCCCACAGCAAATTTCAGTTCTGAGTAAGACAGGAAAGGTTCTGCCTGCACAGAGAATTAGGTAGATGCTGAAATCCAGGTGTGGTTCCTGATCGTACCACAAAATTACAAAATTTTATTCGGATATTGCCAAATAAGGTTTTAGGAAAAGGCTAGATGGAAATAAGAAGTGCACAGTATTTTTAGAATAGGCTTTTTAAGGTGGATGTGATAATTCGGTTTCATGTCCCCGATTTTACGGATAAGGACACCAAGGCCTGAGAGAAATGAAATATGTTGTGCTGGGTAACAGGATGGGGACTAGAATCCCAGCCTCCCCTAGTTCTAGCCCACTGTTCTTTCCACTACATTTACTTTCAATACTAAACAGGGAAAGGGTGTTTTTGTTACAGCCAGATGCCAAAGAAGCAATGCACAGTTGGGCTTTTTATGGCAACAGTGGGCTGAGTTTTTGCAAGTCTGAAATCATATCTACAGCCACTGATTTCACCTAGGAAATCTCAGACGTGGCTACAATGAGGAGTTCACGTCCGAAGAGCTGGAGGGAGGTAAGGGAGAGGACACCAGAGGGCTCTTTTAATGAAAACTCAAGATCAGAAATGAACATCCAATTGAATGCCTTTGAATGAAGATGAGAAAAAAATATATAACCTGAGATATTCTGATCTCCAACTTTTCTCCCTTTTCCCATTCAGAGCCCATTGCCTCCAATCCTCACTCCCTCACCCCAATACCCATTCCTCTTGAAATCATTTTCAACTCTCATTTTCTCACTTCAGTTTGTGAACATAAATATGTGAATTGTCCATTTACACACCAATTGACCTTTCTTTGCAACCTTTAAACATTTTGTATTTTTAAAATTTCTGATCAGTGTTTCTATAGCTATTACAATATCTTGGGTCCTGATTCAAACTCTGTTATTTCACTCTTTTTTTTTTCCTTGAGAGGGAGAGAGAGAGAGAGAGAGAGAAAGAGAGAAAGAGAGAGAGAGGGGGAGAGAAACATCAATGATGCCTGGCCAGCGTGGCTTAATGGTTGAGCGTCAACCTATGAACCAGGAATTTATGGTTCCATTCCCGGTCAGGGCACATGCCCAGGTTGCGGGCTTGATCCCCAGTGTGGGGTGTGTAGAAGGCAGCTGATCAATGATTCTATCTCATTATTGATGCTTCTTTTTAAAATTTTTTTATTGATTTCAGAGAAGGGAGAGAGAGAGAGAAACATCCATCTATTGCCTCCTGTGTGTCCCAACTGGGAATCAAACCCACAACCCTTTCTGTATATGGACAATGCTCCAACCAACTGAGCCACACCAGCCGGGCATCCAGGTTTCCTTATTTTAAAACAAGGTTTATAAACCTCCACCATTACCTCTGATGCTACAAATACCCTGGACCTTCCCACACTTTGGTTTCAGGGTTTGGCCTATTTTAAAAGGACATAAAGTTTGACTTCAGTGTGATGGAGAGATTACACATCTTGGACCTCCTGGATCTCAACCCAGTGCAACCAGAAAATACAGTGCAAGCTCTCTGTAGTGGGTTGCAGGTACACCCCCCACTTCCTCACAAAGACATGTCCTAGTCCTCACCACCAGTAACTACGGATGTGATCTTATCTGGGGAAAAAAGGTCCTTGCAGATGTAATGAAGCTAAAGATCTCCAAATGAGATCATCCTAGATTAAGAGGGTGGGTTCTACATCCAATATCAAGTGTCCTTCTAAGAAACAGAAATGGAGACGACAAGGAGAAGAGGCACATGCTGTCGGAGGCAGAGATGGAAGGCATATAGCCACAAACCCAGGAGCCACCAGAAGCTGGAAGAGGTAAGAATGGATTCTTCTCTAGAGCCTCATCTTGATTTCGGGCTCTGGCCTCAGAGCTGTGAGAGAAACCCCTGGGGATAAGGCGCAAGGCTAACCTCACCCCCGTGCTTCCGATGTAACTGGTCTTGGTGGGTCTAGGCATCTAGCTCCCCACGTGAACTGAAGGCACCGCCAAGGTCAAGCCATTGCTCCAAGAGACAATGTTCTCTCAGGGCTGCCTGACTCCAGGCCTGGGCTCCCACTCTTCACCCTGTGGACAGGATGGTCCCCTCTAAAGTTCGGGCACCGTCTGTCAGAGGAGAGGCAGTCTCGTCATCTGCAGGGTGGTGTCAGTGCCGGCTCCCTTGTGGGGTTGTTGTGAGGCTTCAACTGGATAATGTAGGCAACGTCCCTCGTCCAGCACCCAACGGATGGCGTGTGATAGGCAGCAGACACCCCAGAGAGATAAGAAACATCCTCGAGAGAGACTGTAATGCAATTTCCTCAGATCTTATTAAGTTCCTCGAAAGAAGGCAGCAGGACTATCGAAGAGCTGCAGGATGGTTATTACTCTACTGCTATCCTGGGGT